TTTTGTCAGAATTTGACAGCAAATATACCATACCTTAAACAGTTTTACTTTAATGTTTGATGCTCTAGCGTTTGAAGGAGTTGCCTTAACAAAGAGAGCGGATAATCTGAAATGTTGGGGCATAATTTTACTACTACTGGTGGAGTAATCTATCTTTATTACCCTCTGTATTCTCCAGTGTATAAGGATTGCCCACACAAAACTTGACAGAGGTGATGCTGATTGTATTTAACTCAAGATGGCATCACAAATTATGACTCTCCAACTATAGTAAGTTTGCTCTCACTTCAATTTCAAGTGAGTAGGGCTTATAGAATGTTTCCCTAATGACTTTAAGTTCGGTCATTACAGGATCGGTAGGCACTACAGAATAAATGTTTTTTCATGGTTTTTTTCTCCGTCACTAACACGATACTGGTAACTTTATATGAGTCCTAAATCAGCATAAGCAAAATTTTTATGTAATTGCCTAAGCTAATTTCTGCCAATGAGGGTTGGTCTACTGTACAAGATTTATTTGACTACTATAATTTCACTACAAATTAGCTTGGATTTTAAAGACATAACTCTGATTTTTTTGCAATTTCCTCAAAAATTACTAAATCTATCTGGGCTTACAAAAACTCGTCAGATTGGTTTTTTCATCGTGCATTTATTACTACAAAACACTTTTTTTGTCTAATTCTTAGTTTTCCCATGAACCACAAAAACCGGTAATGATGCTTTTTCACATTTGTTTTTACTGCCCTGCCGTGCTCCGTTCCACATTTAAACTTAATTTATTATTTGTAAGGTTATCATCAACCAAAAAAAAATGAAAGTTGATGTTCGCAATTTTCAAAAATGTATCAAATCTTTTAAAAATTCGGCGTCCCTGTAGGATTATACTGGGCTAAGTAATAAACAATTTGTCACAGAAAATAGATTTTCACCTATAAGAATTGTGATTAACTCTTTTAATAACTTTTCACCCATGTAAGCAATAACATACTTTAATGATACTATTAAGATATGCATAAGAGATTCTAGGTGACTGAGATCATGCTGGGCTGAGTTGTATGCGTTATTTTACAGAAGATCAAGATTTTTCCTGTTGTATCTGTTTATAACTTTAGGAATAACTTCTTACTCGTTTTCGCAATAATATGAGATGATAACAGTTTATTGTTGCTTGAGTATGTCTGTTAGGTTTTGATTATCTAGGATCAGGCTAGGTCGAGTTATAGACGATTTTCAATAGAAAATCAATGTTACCTGTTTAATTAGTTAATATCTTTTTTAATAACTTTCCACCTGTATTAGTATTAATATATACCAATGGTGGCTGTTATTAGAGCATGTATTCAAGTGTCTAAGATGATGCTGAGCCGACTTTTTTCGAAAAATAGTTTGTCACCTGTTCAATGTGCTTATAACTTTTTTACTTACTAAGTATTGTTATTTAATTTAGATTTTTTACATTATATCTACTTAAATTTATAGTTTTGTGTAGTAACCTGCTCTAAAAATTGTTTTTGTACAAAGTCATGGGGCCCCTTGTCACCACCTATTCGCGTTTGGCAAACTGCTAACTCCAGCTGCTAGTTTCAGGTTTATATACGGACTTACTGCCATTATGTGTTCTAATAATTAATAACTTAATGTGAGTTTATTATTCACTAATGTTTTAATAGTTTTGTTTTCCGCTGTTATCTCTTGAAAAATACAATAATTTTTAGGTGAAATTAATATGTGAAATCAAAAGTGCACAAAAGTTTTTTGTGATGTTTTATTACTAAAAATTATAAAATCCTGAAAAATTTCTTGCAACATTCTTTATGAAATTCAGAGACACTCACTCTTAATGGCAAAATTTTGTTGTTTTTGTTTGACTTTTAAGAGTCGTACGCTTTTGATTTGTAATCTTCACTCATGCACTTATTTGTATGTATATAGTTACGGAAAGGAATACTAAAATTAAAGGAAATATGGTTTTCTACTAACATGCAAGAAAAATCTCTCGAAAGAGATGTGAAACCAAAAGAAAAGAAAAAAGTGTTGATGCCAATACAAAAAAATGGCCACACACGCGTGTATATCTTTCTCCTGTGGCGAGGAGAAAGTTTTTGGAGTTACTTCAACAGGCATGCGTCGACTCAGTGTCAAGCGTAAACGAACCTGAAAATGGAATGACGTCAAAAAATATGTCTCTGATTACAAGGAACGACGAAACGACCAAAAATCATACATGCATTTATACTTGAATTTTGTTTGTTGCGGGCGTTCACTGCAGGGTGGCAGAAAACAAGATGGGACCAGTGATGGAGAAAATTGATGGAGGAATTATGCGACGTAGCGACAATTTACAACTCGTTACGACGTTGTTCACCATATTATTATCGTATTCGACTCATAAGTTCGTATTCTGGTTACGGCACCAATGTATGATAAAGATTTCCTTAACCTGAGGTCCACTCGCAGTTAAATATATTTTCACGCAGTCTAAGTTTTCGATTGAATTAACAGCACAGCCTTTCGTAAAATTTTTCACTATTTACTTTGATGAAAAAAAATGTGGAATACAAACAAGCTTAAAAGTAGGAATAACAAAATATCCAAACAAGGAAATTCACGCACGTAACGATCGAATTTATTACTCAAAGGATTAAACTTTTGTAACCACGTTGCTGCAATGATTAAAACTAGAGCTAAGGGTTCGTACGAGAGACCCTCATAGCTTCGAAAAAAACTTGGGCGTAAGCGTACGCATCGAGCTTACTATGAGTCGCGAGAGAACTTGAGAAACTGTGTGCTCTGTTCCGTAGCGCTATGAGAAGTGAAGTTACAGTTCAATTTTTTTTCAAGTATTAAGCACGGCTGATTGGAAACAATCGTTTACTTCCGCGCCAGCATGTACGTAGCGCACGATGCACATTCACATGCAACTCTGTAGTCTATTATTAATTGGCAGCTGCAAAGAGACTGTTCTTACATTTTCAATATTAGTGTTAGCATTTGCCAATATTTTTGCCAAGTTTTAACCAACTTTACTTATCCATAAAAAAAGATCAAAGAATTTTTCCAAAAAAATTTTTCCCGTCGACGATAGGGTGAAAACTTTTTTATTCCTTAAAAAACAGCTCTTCATGTTAAAATTTTATACGTCCATCAAAAACTATCAATGTTACAGAAATAGTTATAAAATCGGTCCAAATCAATAATTTCTAAAAAATCTAACAGGATAAGTAAAGAATAGTTATTTAATTTATTGTTATAAGCAGCCATTGTAGTCGAATCGAGTTAGCAAATCCGTATGTGAAAATTACGAACTTTAAGTTTAATTTTTTTTGTTGAATAGTAACTATTCAAGCAACATTTGCTTCAAAAGCATTTTATAATTGTAAATGTAACATAAAAACTTAAGTAAAAACTGTTGAAAACTTCAGATTTCTCAGAAAAATTGTTCTTGAAATATTTGATGCTGACAAAAACCATATTTATTGAACTTAAAACGTTATTTTCCAATAAACAAAAGCATCTACTAACCCCCACTGGAGATTAACTTTTAAATAATTAAGTAAAGAACTACAAAAAGGCATGTAACAAAAAATGCGAAAAAGAAGATGTATTAAGAAAAATGAAGCAAAAAATCGTTGACTTATGACTCATCAATTTTTCCCAAACGTTATTTTCGCTACATCCAATGTAGTGAGTATTTATGTAAAATTGTCAGTCCCCATTTAAGCTTATGATGAAGATAACGTCAACGAGTGAACTTCATAATTTTTTTTTTAAACATTCAACAATGTTTTTTTTATTGTTAAATAATTTTTATAAGAATCAAACTAAAAAAATTTTACTACAAATTTAAATTTTGAGTTACTTTATACACCCACAACACTTTTGCATTTCCCTGACAATTAGAAAAAATTACTCATCACTTTTTTCCAACAAAATTTAAATAGGAAAAAAGATTATTTTATCTATGACTTACTCAATTTAAGGTTATGTTTAATTTTTATAGATGTTGAATTAATGACTAAATGATAAGTTGATCTTACATAAGTCATTAGTGATAATTTTACATTTTTGTAGTCTTTTTTTCACATCTCTCGTATTTTTTTGGTTAATTATCAGGTTTCAAACAGTTTTTTAAGGTTAGTTCAGTGCCTAACTTTTCTGAATAATTTTTCTGTATTCCACATTAACTAGCTTTTACGCTAAAACAATTTCTGGTCTACCTATTTCTGTTCTAGAGATATTAGGTTTTAATAAAAAAAATTTGGAATTTTTTTATATACAGTAAAACTCGCAATCAATTGCACGCCATGTAGTCATTTAACTCAGCAACAATAAACACAGTGCTATAGTATATGTTTGTATGCAGTGGAGGAGGATATCGCCAGTGACTATGTCGTATTCATCTCTCGACAGGCTTAAAACTTATTTTTCTGCTTCAATTCGTTTGGATGACCTGTTGACTAAATAAAAACCACAATGATGGCCCTTAATTAAAATATCTTTTCTTTTTATTATTAACCCATTTACTTATAGCTCCCTGCCAGTACTGTTTTAATAAGTTAATTTATTTTTGGTTACTTTGACATTTTAACCTGTTATTCGTTTTTTATGATCAGCTCTTATTTTTTATAATTTTTATTACATTTATCGTAACTCTATTTATACTTATTAACATAAATAGACTGCTTTTTGTATTTATTACTATTATCATTACTGATACGTTTGATTTTTTTTATAATAATTAACTTTTCTCATCCTTTACTTATAATATACAAACTTTATATTCACAAAAACACCCTTATTTATGATAAATAACAGAGACAAACACATTTACAACCTTTCACTCCTGCGATCTTTGACCTTAAAATTATAATACTTTTATCTTGTTACTTTTCTATTGAATGCTATTAAAAATATATTGGTGTATTCGATGTATTATATTTATAACGATCTATTAAAATTATATCCAATATTAATACTCTCATATTTCACTCTCATAGAAATACTGGCATTGGCTGATAGTATTTACAAACTGACAAAGGCTTCGCGCAATGCTAGGACTGCCATGTATAATGCAATGCAGGCTACGCTTCTCCACAACGACGAATTTGAAAGCAAAATCATGAAGAAGGATGAGGACATTCTGTTGACGCTCAAGTTTTTGGCTAGGTCTAACTTAATTACCGAGCCAACTGCTTTAAGAACAGTATCATCGGTAACATTAGTTAAATGTTCTAGTCCAACAAAAATTTTATTAGCACCTACAATTTCAACGACTGATGATGGAGATGCCAATCGTACTTAAGAATAAAGAAGACGGCGAAAGGAAATAATTTCTTGAGGTGGAACAACATGGAAGACTAAGTGTGAATAGTTTACTTATAGTTTCAGTTAGTTAACGCTTTTCTCAAGATTCACATGGGCTAAACCGTTATTGTTAAGTTTTCAAACGTTTAATTTATCGATTAACAAAATAGTCTTGCTTAATTAAGCAAAACAACGCTAAAAAAATTAGGAGAAACATGTAAGAGTGTGAGTTAAAAGTGAAGAAGATGGAATGAAAGAGAGGAAAAAATGTTAAAACGTACTTAGACTTTGTAGTGCTAACAAAGTTAATGCTCGAAAAACTGCAGGACCTGAGAGGTCTTCTTTGAGGAACACCGTAATGTTATCTTTTGCTATTTAGAAGCGCACAACAGTTTAATCGTCAACCAAAAACCGTTGCTTCAGTACTTTTAGTTGGCAATCATTAGTGAGACCACTAGGTGCATTTTACTACATCGATTAAATTTTACATTTGTTAGTTTACATGATTAAACTTAAAAATAAAAATTGTCGCGCTTCAAAATGTGAATACGCCTAGCAACCAATGTATACTGTTGTCATGTAGGCCGAGCTTGACATTTAGTGGAACACTGGTTAGTCTGAAGTGTAGTTTACCACTTTAGAGTACCTGTCAAATAAAGATAATACGATGTTTTATACGTGAAGAATAACGTAGCGAAAAAGCTTCATTATCTGTTTTATCTACAGTGCGTTTCCTCATATACTTTTATTCCGTCCTTGATCAAAACTTCTAAGATGACTCTTTTCACTAACTTTCTTGTGCAATATCTTGAAGACTTTCTCAAGAATCTTTTATTTGATCAATCAAAAGTAAACCATCAGTAAAGATAACCATTGCTTGCATTACTGGTTACATCAATGTAATTCACGGTTTCCCATGTACAAATTTTTATAACATCTTTTTTACATTCTTGTGAAAAATGAAAACGGAAAGAAAGTTATGATGAAAATTTTTTAGTTAAAATAATGCTACAATTTTCTGAAGTCTTGTAACTGAAATTTTGGAGTTCAATACTTCTGTTCACTGTAATTAAAATTATGTAAACAGTCATTATCAATAGTGTTTTTTTATAAAATCAATGTAACAGACTTACGATTTGTGTAAAACTTGAATGAGAGAATTCAATAAAAGAAACTTGTAAGTATTTAAATTTAGATCCAGTCACTAAAAACAAATAGTGTAAACGGTGATACTAATTACCACAATGAAATTGGAAAAAAAGTGTTGCTTACCATTAGGACCTTTTTCGCTGTCACATTGTTTCTAGGCTTAAGTTAAAATCTTTCATCACTGTTTGATGTATTTCATTAAGTATTACAACAAAACTTGCATAAAAAACTTAATGAAAGTTTCAGAAACCTATCAGATTTACCGAATGTTTTTTTTGACGCTAGAAAAAAATTGCTTAGAATATCTGAATGTAGCCTTTTTTAAATGCATAACCTGTTATAATTGCGTGCACGTACAGTTACTTCCTACATAATACAGGACGACGATACGGGTATCCTTTAATGGCATCTAAAGTGTACAATATAAAGATTAGTGCGCTTGATAAGGTGATTGTAGAAACAAATACGAATCGCAATAAGTGCCACTGTTCCTGAATGAATGTAGTTTGTTTGCAAATATAAGTATACATACATGTGTATCCATATACGTACGAGTACATAAACAAAAAATTGTGCATTAGCTCAATATTGACTCAGGAATGTCAGCGCCTCCTACAATCAAAGTCTGTCTTCAACCTCATTTCACCGTAGTAGTCATATTTCAGACTCATATAAATGTGTTACTTTAGACTAATGCTGCAAAGCAACTTAAACTATCTAAAAAATAAAAATATTTTGTCCACTTTACTGTAATAATAGCTTTATATTTAATGATTGACCTTTCATCTACATAGTTCAACTTGGGCTGATTAGCTGTTGTGATTGTTGATTTATATTCGTTGTTTTGTTAATGATTGTTTCGACGGTCGATGAATAAAGCAGCTAACAAAATAAATTTAAGTCAAACCAACAGAGGTAGCAGATAAGCGACAATATTTCATATTTGATTGACTAGATACTCATGAATAAACATGCGTTTTCAAACTTTTAAGCAGTTCTGTACATCGATAAATTTTCGTTTACGCATGTATTTCAATAATTGAACTCATGTTAATTTAATTTTTTCAAAAATTTTCTTCTACCAGAAAGCTAATGCAGTGGATTTTTAGTTACTAATAATTATTATTAGATGATAACTGACAAGTAAAATATATAGAAGCGCATTTTTTTTAGATTGTACATTGCATAAAAAAGCAACCATACAAATTGATACACGAAGATGTTCTTTGTTATGGCTACACATATGGTTAAAAAATCAATAAATTTTATTATTGCTTCAGGATTAAATTCTTTTTGTATGTTTAAATATATATATATAT